GATATTTAAATATGCCATTCTATTCTTTGAAGCACTAGTTTTATTCTATATTTCGAGAGTATTTTAGGTTTTCAAAACGTATTTTATGTTTTAAAACATTATATATTTCAGCGATTTTTGTAAAATCGTTATAAGTAGATGCGTCTGTGCTATAGTAATAGGTCGGTTTTGTATTCGAGATAGCTATGAATTTTGCATCTGAATATGCATCTCTTAGAAGTTTTGCTTTTATCCTTTCTTGTTTCATTACATAGTAAATGGCAAATATAGCAACAAAGACAAATATTTAAAATATGATGTAGAAAATATAGCTACGGATGCCGCATAATATAATCTTGATTTTAGAGAACTGAAAAATAAACGCTTTATATTAATATAAAATACCAACAAATTATAATTTTTCAAAGCTAAAAGAACCTGTTAAATATTATTAATGAATACATGTTATCCAATAAGACATAAAAACCATCATATATTTATTATTCGTACCTGAAGAATTTCTAGTGACGTTGAATGCGTTTGATGCTGGATAATAAGATAAATCATTCGCCAATCGAGGCCAGTAATCTGTACGATTTGGGATGCAAATATCCAATATAGAATCTATGGTTGTCAATCACTGCATTGATGTTGCAGTTTTGGAATGTCAAACTTGAAGTTTTGTTCTGCAATGCCATCGAGAAATTTCAAAATATCGTACTTATTTACCCATGCAGAATGCGCTGGAATGTTATCCATCCGGATTTAGCCATATATCGGTATATTCGGTCAGGAAGCAGCCATCGGAAGCATTTTTAGAAATATTTAAGTGACAAGTCGTATAAGAGAATATTTCTTTCTGTTTTGACACTCAATAAGTGTGATTAATTTTGAAAACAACAGTAAAAATATGATATATAATTGTTGATGATTGGTGATTAAAATAAAAAAGGTTATTCAAATTAGCAGTCTATCATAATAACTAAAACACTTCAAAAAAATAGTTTAATAGAGGTTGTTGGCCGAAACCATTCGATAAAAGATTCATTAAAGGGGTCATTGTTTTAATTCGAATGGTGTAACTCCCAGAAAGAGCTAAAAAAACTTACAACAATAAGCAATCTAAAAAAATAACTCCAAATAACGAATAATAATCCCTAACAACTAAATTAACTCTAGTGTAATAATTATCTGTTACTCAAGACCGGTCAGAGAATGAAGCGAGTCGATTTAAGCTTCCGGAAGATATAATAATTATTTTTTTATTAACGAACACGTAGGGATATTAATAAAACATTACAGTTGAATTATTTCTCTTGAAGTGCCAATCTTGTGGATAAATTAATTAAATATTGTACTTCTAATCGAATTAAAAAACTGCTAGAAACCGGCAAAGCTTTTAGCAAGAATACTCGCCGATTTTTACACTCTAATAATTCAGCCTAATACGGTCTTCGTTTACTTGAAAATGGCACCTTCTATAGTCCATTGGCATTTAATCTTGGGTCACTGACAATGCCAGTTCCTTTAGGGAGTATCTTAAAGTTATTATTTCCGTTTTTACTAAACTTGAAAAACACTATTTTAAATCAATTTTAATACTTCAAAGATTTATCTAATCTATATTTATCTATATTTTTATAGAAAAAGCAAGTCCAAGACCAAGACTGACCAGTGCAAAACTTCCGCAAAATCAATGACAAAACCAAGCACGCAAGACTCTTGCAGTATTGCATTATTTTTCACCTTTATATGATATAAGAATTTACTTATTTGTGCAAAATTGTTGTTTTAATTTATTACAAATAGTGCTTCCCACTATTGCATAAAATTTTAAAGGAAGAAATGCTGATTCAGTATAATATATTGAAAAATAAAAAATGCAAGACTTGCAAGAGTCTTGCGCAAGACCGAGACCAAGACTGGACCCTGCAAAACCAAAACCTTGGTCACGATCTTGCATTTTGCTCATTACTATATTTTACAGTTGTTATTATTATTATTAGTTTCTTTAATTTGGCCAATTGCTTTTAGCATTTATAGTTAAATTATTCGTTTTACAACCAATAATGTTCAATCCTATCAATATAGTCATTTCATTTGAATGAAAATCCATGTTTAAAATTGGCCTGTATATTTTATTGCCGTTTAGAGTATTATCCACGTGTGCCATGCGAAATAAGAAAAAAGCCATTATTAAGATATAAAACCACTCAAAGAATTAGGAAACTTTTCGATTTTTCTCTTCCATTTCCTTTAGCCGTCATTTCGTTCCCGTGGACATTATTAAGACGATCGTCATGGATTTTGGCTGCTTAATTTCATTTTAAGGGTACGGCCGTTTTTCTTTCCCATTTTATACGCTTTTTATTTTTAAACTGCCTGCCTTATTTGAAATGATATAAATAATGCTATACCACAAAGCATATACAATTTAGTTTTATTTCAGATGCTTTTATATTTTTCAAATTCAAGAAGAATGTAATAGCATTTGTCAGTACATTATTTCTAGTATTATACTTGCATTGCAAACTACTATATTGTAATCGTAAAAATGTTAAATTAAAATGATATCATAGAAATTGAAAGCGCCTTATTAATATTGAACGCCACCACCGAATAATGAATTAACTGGTCTTTCTCATATAGGAAACATTCCAAAACACTTAAGATAAATTAAAATATTCTGAAGCAATTGGTAGTATCTCGAGGAAAGCTAAAATTAAATCAGAAACACATTAAATAATACATTAAGTAACATTGCCTTGTTATTCTTGGACAGTTATTGTCATTACAGTATTTATTTACCTTTAAGTCCACATTCGTCGTTCAATTATTCCCTTATTGAGTAAATTTCCATATTACTTTGTTGTGTTGAGTTGTGTTATATTTATAATAAAATTAGAAAGGGGGGGAACCAATTAGAGCACATACAAAAATCTTTAATTATAATTAAAGTTTAAAATTATTCTAATTATGTAACCTATAATTTAATGTCATTATAATTGGAACTATCATTAATATCAGGGGGATTTCAGTTTGCCTTAAGAGACAGACAAGAGACTATTAAAATATAAATAAAACAAGAGAGCTTTTATAATAGTATAAAGAATTTATCACAATGACCTTCTCTAAATGGATAAATCATTTCTAAAGAAATTATTAATTGCTTAATTAGATAATTAAGCAAATTTAAACAGATATTAGTTTACTATAACTGTATAAACCTAAACTTTTTTATTATTAATAATAAATAAAATAATACAACAAAAAAATATTAAACATAAAAAAAGTGAACATAAAACCTTATTAAATTAGGTGACTTTGAGTTAACAACTAGAATAATCACCCGACAGTACATTTAGTTTGCCAGGCAATGAGCTCAAACTGACGAATAAGAATTTTTATTTTCTCCTCCAGTTTTATCTTAATGTGCTCTTGCAGCATATTTTCGTGTCATCTGGTGGTGGACAGTAGTTTTTGATTTATCATCCATTAGAGGCATTTTATTATCTTGCAAGCGACTTAGCAGCACAAGAAATGGTCTGGGACAACCAACCCGTTATAAATTTTCATGAATTTTATTTAATTTTCATTTAATTATGGACCGTTGTTGTATCGAAAGGTTGTAATTTGATAAATTATCGATAGAAAGCAATTAAGATACGTATTGAAAGGTAACAAGCCGTCTCTTATTGGAAAAGTAATGGCGGTCGTTATTTTAAATAGATTTTTTAAGTTAACCGATAAGGAAAATAAAACTGTAGTTATCGATAAAAATAGAGATATGCCCACGCCGGACCGCAGTGATTTTCTTTCTTCGTTTGTTGTCTTTCAGATATAAATCAATAAATATTCTAAACTTCTAAAGTAAACAAATATCGCGTTTAATTAAGCGTTTCTTCTTACATTAGCAATATTCAAATTTTTGAGAATATCCACTTAACTTACCTAGCGTCATTTTTATTGTAATAATATATAAATTAAACGATTTAATAGAAATTAGAGTTACGTTCTTACAAAACACAATGACAAATTACTAGGACTATGATTCCGTCTGAAAATAAATGATCTAAATGGAAAATGTGTATGCATTTAAAAAATATTGTTATTTTAAGTTAATATTGTCATTAAGATGGGAAAATGATATAGTGCCATTACAACTACTATTATTCGTTTTTTAAAGAAACAGTAAAAATGTTTTAAACGAGATCGTTGGGAGTAATGAAATTTTTAATGGATGTTTGTAAAAGCAAACCGCATATTACGAATTGCATTTAAATTGTGTAATAGTCGATTTCATACGATGTTGAAAACGGCATTTGTGGAAGAAACGTCAGAGAATAGTCGTATCGTTATAGAGAAATTATCAAAAAGAATTAAATAAAGTTTTAAAATATTTTTTTTTTAAACATTTTGGTACAAATGTTAAAAATAACGGTTTGTAAGTTTGGCTGGTGACTACACTTAACACATGCCACTCCTACACTCTGTTTTTAGAATACCACTATCTTAAAATTTTCGTCAGGAACGTAATCAGTTGAGTAACTGTTAAAAACAATGTACGTGATTTGTCGAAAAAGGAATTTACAGTATATTTATTGAAAATTGGCATCGTGTAATATTCAATAGTGGCTTTGTTAGTGTAATATTATTTGTCAAAATCGAGGTATCTTTCTTTTTGATATTTTTTTCCTATTTTCTTGTAAAGAAATATTAAAAAATAGATAAAGTAAAAGTTTTTGAAGCTCTAATGGGGATATATTTATTTATTATACAGTCATGTTTGTGTTTACATTAAATAAGCATAGAATATTATCGCAGATTATTATTATTTTATCATCCAAACGATTGTATATATTTAATATCACACGAATGCTGTTTTTGTCATTGGATGAAATAATTGCATGAAGTTCAGGTGAAAGATTTAGAGCTTATTATATAATCATATTGCATCTGCTTCTGTAGACATAACTAACTAGTTAATGAGAATATTCTAACATGTTTTCTCTCTTTTTTAGAATCCAGATGACGTGAAGCTAAGACAGTTGGTGTCACCGCAACGATGCGGTCGTCGCTGGCCTACATCCTGGCAACAATCGCTTTTGTTGTCGCCGTACCATCCGACATCATCCGCACCTTCTCGGACAAGAAAGTTCAAACCTTCAATCACCTGGTTGTGGATAAGAATACTGGAAGAGTGTACATCGGCGCCGTCAACAGGTTATACCAACTGTCACCTGACCTCGACCTGGTAGTGGTCGAAGAAACCGGTCCAAAAGAAGACTCAGAAGATTGCTCGGTACTAGAATGTAACAACGCGCAAAACAAGAAACTCACCGACAATATAAATAAGGCTTTAGTTATCGATTACACTACAACGAGACTGATAGCGTGCGGCAGTTTATTCCAAGGCATTTGCTCGGTGAGGAATTTGCAAAATATATCCGATGGCACTCAAGAGATCCGAGAAGCTGTCGTGGCAAACAACGCAACGGCTTCGACGGTGGCTTTCATCGCACCAGGTCCTCCAAATCCTCCGGTATCTCAAGTTATGTACGTGGGTGTAACGTTTACATTGGGATCTCCTTACCGTTCTGAAGTTCCTGCAGTCAGTTCACGATCTTTGGACAAAGATAAGATGTTTACCATAGCCCAAACCGCTGTCACAACAGGGACCAGAATGTTTGTCAATTCCTTAGCTAGAGAACGATATCCCATCACCTATGTTTACGGTTTTTCATCAGACGGTTTCAGTTACTTCCTAACCACCCAAATGCAGCACACTTCATCAAGCCAATTCATCAGCAAACTAGTCCGAGTTTGCCACGATGACGAAAATTATTATTCGTACACTGAAATACCCATCGATTGTTCATCCAGTGACGGACAAAAGTACAACTTAATTCAAGCAGCTTACGTAGGCAAAGCCGGTTCTGATCTCGCTTCTGACCTGGGTATCACAGCTCAAGATGACGTACTTTTTGCCGTTTTTAGTGAAAGTGACCCAGTGACTGCTAACAAACCATCAAACCACTCAGCGCTGTGCGTCTACTCCCTGAAGGCCATCAGAAGAAAGTTCATGCAGAACATCAAACACTGCTTCAGCGGTAACGGTCAAAGAGGCTTAGACTTCATCTCTCCCAGTCATCCCTGCATTCCAACGGTAAGTCATCACCAACTTCACAGATTCATTAAATCATTTATTTCTGCTAAGTTTTTATGTACATCTGCATTCTGTCTTCTATTGGATGGATGTCGTCTGTCGAGAACTTTCCTGACACGTTTGTCAGATACATGATGAACGTTCGATATAACACTTTTCTCTCGAATGGACCATCATCTACCACATTGAAGCAGACATAATATTATCGTTTATTTCAGAATTTTATTTTCTTCGGCTACACACTTTTTAATATGAATAGAGAAAACATATTTCACATCTACCTTTCCAAGGTATAAAGTTAATCTTCTTGAAAATTCAACAAAAAAGTTACAGCCGTAACATAATAGACCAATTTGGATCATAGAATTTAATCTAAGCTTCACGTATAACCATTATTAGGGAAAAGACTGCCCTTTTGAAAGATTTTGTTGCCATGGTAGCTTGAGTAAGTAATCTATTCAGGATAAAAATGGGAAATTTCTGTAGTAAAAGAAACTTTGCTGCATTTTGTATAAATTATTAAGGCTAATTCTACATGAGTATCGAACTAAAAGCTGCAATTTTCATTTAAATCTCCACTATTGTTTTAATAATATTTTCAAGTACATATGCACAACAGATTTTCTTTTAATTTCTAATGAGTATCAAAATATTTTCCACGTTTAATTTCTCCTGCTGCTTAGCAGTACTTTATTTTTTTTCACTATTTATAGGAAGAAAATCTAGATAAATAAAGGAAACATTTTTAGAAAATACTGAGAGTAAAATTTGAACAGAAAGAAGCAATTAATCATATTTAACTGAACCTATAATATAATCATGTTTAAATGAACCTATAAAACCATATAAAAATACAGAATTGTGGATGAAAAGGCTGTGAAATTTAAAGATAAAACTGAAGCAAATTGAAAATTAAATACAAGAATACAATGAGATAATAACGTATGAAATGATGAAATGAAAAAAGAAAGTGAAAAAAAAATCAATTGGCTAATAATTGAAGACTTAATATTTTATTGTGCCTGTTAATATTTTAAATTATTTTAAAAAATTATATTTTACTACAACAGGATGGACAAAAAGTACCCGAATTTTAAAAGATAAAATGTTACACTTTTCTGTTTGCTACGTGTTTTATTTACGGAATGAATTCACTTTTCGAGGTCATCAGATTTTCGGAGAAAGTTGAATATTTACCGTTTTTGTCGGAAAAAATCGCTCATAAATATTATTCGTATTTCATTTAGTATTCAGGTGAGCGGGCAATTCTGAATTTCTATTGTGCTTCTTTTCTTTTTCTTTATTACCGATCTCCATACATTTAATCTATTTATCAAATGAATTGCACTATCTCTTTCGCCATGAATCAGTTTTATGTTGTGGAAAGGCGAATGGATCTATCTTGGATGAGTAATCTAAGCTGTCTTCGCAATCACTTTTTCTAAATTAATTACTCCAGATAAAATAATTATTTTACAACAAACAGGATGTATATATATTTATTTACAGCAAATATATCCAGAAAATATTATCTATTTTAGTTGCTATTGTTTTCTAATAATTATTAATGTATTTTATTATTTCTAAATTTACATTGAAAAATTTCTTATCTTTACTTAGGTCATAGTATACCTAAATATAGGTTTTCATATTTTCATTTTCCCAACATTCTAACTTCATATTTTATATAAACGTTCTTGTTCTGCTTGTATCTGAAGTATCCGGAAATCCTATTTGCTACTATGTTTCCGATTTTAGTCTTATTTATACAAAAGGAAAAGCAGATTGCTGGTTCTTTTGTAACCGATATTTTATATTGTATTAAACGGTGGGATATTTATTTTATGTTGTTGACGTAAATTTTTATCTGTCAAATCCGTTTGGGTTTTCGCGATGAAAGCAAACACTTAAAAATGTCGGGAAGCATTTTCATTTTCGATAAGTCCCATGGGAAAATCTAAAGCGAGGCCATTATTTCATTCGTGGCGCTTTTCTGTGACATTGTTAAAGTAGAAAACAGTGTGCGGATCTCTCAAGATGCCCGTCTTCGTTTACATTCAGTCAATGTTTTCAATTTAGTTAAAGAGTTGTAAAATACATTGTTACAATTTGTTAAAACCGTCGAAAATGTGCAGCGAAAATAAGCTTTACTGATCACCATCAGCAATTATGTTCAGTTTTATGTGTTTCCTTTTTATTATTATTTTTGTTTCAAGCTTTGACTAAAAAGACTAAGGAAGGAACATATCACAAAACTAAGGTAAAGCGTGATGGGGACCTAATATATCCGACTTAAATCCCGATTATAATCCGATAGATTCAATAATTCGTTGTTTTCTTTTACGCTGTCAATAAATATGAATTGATGTGAGAAACTATTAAAGATTATACTTTTATTTTTCAAATACGGAATAGGAAAGAATGACAATTCAAACACTGCTTTGAAACGTAAAATACAAAACATGTTTGTACGTGCTTATGAGAAAATATAAAAATGAAGACCTATGTAGCCGTCAATTTTTAAATAAAATGCTTATTCTTAATATGAGCATTCTTTGCAGGATTTAGTTAATCTCGTCTGGATCTCGACATCTTCGGTATCTTCTCGATCTCGACAAGTTAATTTTCGTCCCGGCCTTGAATCTCCAATCATATTTCTTGTTTTTTTTACTGTTTCGTAATAAAAGATAAGCGATGTTAATACTCATTATGCCTTTGTAGAGATATCAAAAATTGTAAACAGAAAGAAACAACATATTTTTATGTTTAAACTACCATCAGATATTTTCTTCGAATTAAAAAGAATATAATTAAATATTATAATATTATTTATAAACTGAGACCAAATTTTTTCAGTTTGCAATTATAATATTTATAATTAATTGCATATATCCTATAGTTTTTTAGATTTTTTCCTATACTTGTAGTATAAAGGAGGGCGCGCCATCCTTAAGACTGGAGCACTGCGCGCCCTCCTTAAGACAGAATTACTTGCCAAATTACATAGTTCTAGGTCAACGAAAAATACTTTTTGATTCCCTTGGGCGCGTTTTTGGGGCGTAAACGGCAGTATCTTTTTTACATTAACTTAGAAATTTGATTTTTTACAGCTTTAAGGAACTGTAGACTTTAGTATATGGTTTAAATTTTAACTCGATACCTCCACGCGTTCCCGAGATAAAGGGTCTTGTCAGGCAGACGGACGGATAGACAAAGTGATCCCATAAAGTGTTCCGTTTTCTCCTTTTGAGGTACGGAACCCTAAAAACGGCGTCACAATGGATTTTTAATTACAGTCGATATTCGAAAAATATAAATTTGTCAAAAAATAATATTTAAAATAAAAATAAATAATTATGAAAAAACTTTAAGGTAATATAAAACCTTGAATAATTATTATAAATAAACGTACATATTGAGGTGAAGGTATAAAATGTATTAAGGTGCGTTCACACCGGCTGCGCCGCGCAAAACATTTTTTTAACATGTACTTTTGAAGTGTATTTTTTTTAACGCGCACAAAAGTATATGTTAGAAAAATGATTTGCGCTGCGCGGCGCGGCGCAGCTGATGTGAACGCACCTTTACTATTAAATAATAACCCTGAAATGTGTGCTTTTAGGCATGTCCAGTCGTTAAAAGGTTCCAGATATTTGAATTTATTGAGATGTAATGCTGATTTAAATAGCATAACGCACTCCTATTACTCTATTATACCCTTATCCTGCTATATTTACGGTATCATCTGTCAGGACCCATTTTATATCACTCGTATACGCAGCTTTTAAATTTTAATTAAACAGATCTCAAATATATATCGGATGATTGGGGGAGAAACCAAAGGTATTTTTTGAGTTAGAGCGTAACCATTCAAACCTTTATTTAAAGCCGGGTCCACATATGTAGCACTCTATTGTATCAGGATCATGTATCACGTATCAAGAGCTTGTACCGTAAGTATGGACGTTTATTTGGGCTGTGTCGACTGAATATGCATATCGTGCCAAAGTAAGCGTCCATACTTATAAAATTCATACGTATCAGCTTACAAGCGTGCGTATCAGTGTATGTGGACGGTACAACAAATCACCTTGTATCGTCGTATCATGTTCATCAATTCTCATTTATATTATCAGGACGGAACCCTCGATGCCCCTTTGATGATCGGAGAAAAACCGCCCCAAGACGGGTCACGGCGTATCAAGTCAATTGTATCGTTCTACTGTATCAAAACACGTCCAAGGCCGGGTCCACATATGTAGCATCTTGGTGTATCATATCTCCGTCGCGTTGCACGAACATGTATCATGATCGCTAGTTTGGACGCCGAATTAACGCGATCATATGGTACACCTTTGTGATACTGTATCTGATACATGCCAATCCGAATTTTGGCGCGTATCTTAACACTGCGTATCGGATACACGTATCACGATCTGTCATTTGGACGTGTTTTAATACGGTATAACGATACAATTGACTTGATACGCCTTGACCCGTCTTGAGGCGGTTTTTCTCCGATCATCAAAGGGACATCGAGGGTTCCGTCCTGATAATATAAATGAGAATTAATGAACATGATACGACGATACAAGGTGATTTGTTGTGCCGTCCACATACACTGATACGCACGCTTGTACGCTGATACGTATGAATTTTATAAGTATGGACGCTTACTTTGGCACGATATGCATATTCAGTCGACACAGCCCAAATAAACGTCCATACTTACGATACAAGCTCTTGATACGTGATACATGATCCTGATACAATAGAGTGCTACATATGTGGACCCGGCTTAAATGACAGATCGTGATACGTGTATCCGATACGCAGTGTTAAGATACGCGCAAAAATTCGGATTGGCATCGATCAGATACGGTATCACAAAGGTGTACCATATGATCGCGTTAATTCTGCGTCCAAACTAGCGATCATCATACATGTTGGGGCAACGCGACGGAGATATGATACAGCAATTTGCTACATATGTGGACCCG